GCACGTGGAGATTACAGACATCTTTATGTTTTGCCCTGTATGTTCTATCAGCCCATCACATGTTTGGTCTTGCAACAACTAGAACTTATTTCGCGATGAAGTCCTAAATTCCTGTCGTTTCTGCTCGTTTGCCAGAAGTGATACGTTATATTTTAGTCTTTTAGCGGCTGGCTCTTCCCAGTTTTTCTACAGTTTTAGCCTGAGTCTTGCCCAAACTAGCTGGTGATCATATACAACATCAGCTCCTCTTTTTGCTCGTACATCATGCACAGACCTTCTAAATGTTTTGCCGAAACAAATATGATCGATTTGGTTTTGTGCTTTGTTGTCAGCAGGGGACACCCAAGTTCCTTGTGGATATTCTTATGCTGGAATTCGCTTCCTCCAATAACGACCTCATTTGTTGCGCTGTCTTGGGGCTTATATTAATGTGTGTGGAAATGACATTTAACATTAAAATTGCCATATTGCGTTAAAGATTAGCCGTTATCGGTAATTTTATTTTGTGCACAAGTGAACATCTGGTAGCGTTAATGACATTATTAGTCGTTATATATAGAATTATATTTTGCTAAAAAAAAGTCCTTTTTTTTTAAAAAATAAAGGGAAAAAAAAAGGCGCCGGAACTCTCATCTGCTTTATTTTTTAAAAATATACATTGTGCTATAACTTAAGTTAAATTCCCCCGACAATAAATGCCGCAACAACCTTCACCAGGATCTGTGATTTAAAAAAAAAAAAAAGCCCTGATTATAGCCCGTTTGCATCGCGAACTATTCTTATTGCATGGCTCGCTTTGGGTTGCTCTGACAGAGCTGTGTTGACGGCTCTTTCAAGTTTTGATAAGGTCGCGCATGGTCTGCCTGAATACTCCGGTTTCAGGGCTACTGGAAGGCCACGCTGACGGCGGATGAACTGTACATCCTCGCGACGTCTCTCCGGTAAAGCGGACAGAAGAATAAAACAATGTCAAGAACTAAAAAAAAAAAGGCACAGTTGAATTATATAATTGCAAGATGGCGGAACTTTGGGTTGCAAAGAGGGCGACCGCCCGGGGCGCACTTTGGGATTTCAAATTAACATTATAAATAATAATAATATGTATGAGCGCATGGAATCATCAGAGAAAAAGAAACAGAGGAAAGCCTAAGAATACATGACATAGAGACGCAACCTAGAGGCAGACACACAAAGTATGGAAGCAACTGGAAAGCACAGGACCGAGATGAATGGAACATTATTGTAGACGCATTATTTTGTTTTACTATACAGTGTATAGTGTAGTGCGTTCAAAAATAAATTTGACGAAAATTTGATCGTGTGAACAGAAGAAAAAAATTTGACCAAACTTCCCTTCGACCTAACATCCGTTCGATCAGATTTCCGTTCGATCAAACTTCCGTCGATCAATTTCTCGTCGAAGAAATTTCCTTCAAACAAATTTTCGGTGAACCTTTTTCTTTTTTACCACATTGGATCTTCCACGTGCCATTGAAAATCACTCTCAGTGGCAAGTCTGACAGACGTGCAATATGTTACCCACCCTGTGTTAGGGGACGTCCATTAATTAATTACGTCAACAATTGTTAAACAATTTTCGATCCACTCTCCCTTGTCAACATTTGTCAAACTTTCAATGGCCCCCCCCCCCTAAGTAATTAATGTCAACTTTTTTACCCCCCCCTTTTAAAAAATGAATTATAATATAAATAAATATATAAATACATTTTACTTTATGTAGATCTTTTTTAATAACACAACTTGTAGGAAAAACATTTTATTGCATCTTTAGCTTGTTAATCAACAAGTTAAAATTTTATATTACTAAAAATTGTATAACTATTTTAATTTACACTCATTCAATTTGTTAAAATATTGTAAGCCTAATAACCAGTCAATTTTTAAGATAAAAATGTTAATTAAAAAACATGATTGTTGACGTCAACTAATCTACCTCCCCCCTCCTTTTTCAACAGTTGTCAAACATCCCCCCCCCCCTAATTTTGTTTACATAATTAAAGGACGACCCCTTAGGGTGAGAGTTCTTTCACATCCTCACAAATATATCCGCCCCTCCACCAAATATCAGTTTTAATAAATAGACATTATTTAATAAACAGTCAATTTTTAAGATAAAAATGTTAATTAAAAAACATGATTGTTGACGTCAACTAATCTACCTCCCCCCTCCTTTTTCAACAGTTGTCAAACATCCCCCCCCCCTAATTTTGTTTACATAATTAAAGGACGACCCCTTAGGGTGAGAGTTTTTTCACATCCTCACAAATATATCCGCCCCTCCACCAAATATCAGTTTTAATAAATAGACATTATTAATGATTGCTTTCGGTTCTGAACGGCCTCATTCAGTCATTGCTGATAGGCCGACTGGTGCGTGAGGCAACGCCCAAGGAGCACCACTTCAGTCTTTCACCGTCTTGTCAATGAGAGTCGTCCGCAAAATCGGGCTTCTATTCTGCAGAAATTCCCCTATTTTTCTGCGCAAAAGTTTATATATTTAATACTTGATTTCAAGATAAACATAGTTAGCTTAGTTCTGCAGAGTATTGAAGCAATAAGTACTTTTAAGTAGTCTACCAACAAATAAACAAACAAATATTTTAAAGTTTAAAAATCCTGTAATTTCAAGTTTATAACAGCGTTAAAAGTGTCTATATTATTATTTCAATAAAAATATGATTTTCTTGCTTCACAGAAGCAAAGTCCTTAACTATTTCGGTCATATTAATCTATTGACATTATAGCTAAACCAACCAAACGATCTTGTGACCTAGCAGAACGAATATAATATATTAGAATGGGCTTAGGCTTCGAAAACCTTCTCTCAGCATTCACAACTGTTGGAAGTATTTGCAATATGGCAATATCCCATTGGACATGCATAGTATAATATATCCCTTGGCTTGATTTGTTCCCCTGCTATTCTTCTTGATCAAGGAAATAGCTCACCACACAGTTCTGTTGCTGAACAGTTGCGTAGCTATGGTTATTGTTGGCCGGGGGGCGGGACAATATTTATGACTCCCAAGAAAAAGTGACAACACGCCAATTGCTACCACATTAGTAGGAACAGATGGTGGGGCCTTGCAGAACTGCAGCCCCTTCTTTGTAGACTTCAGCTGGGATGGAGTCTGCACTTGGAGCTTTGCCATGACTTGAGGTAATGCGTATTTCTTCTAGTGTCTTGATCGAGGAAGGGGTAGGCCTACCTGGCTCAGTGAGTGGATTCTCTTTCAAAGTTCACTGAAAAAGGCGTTGTCACAATCTCAAAGTCTGTAAATCCATCGATATGATTTAGTGCGCTTCGAGCCTTTCAGGGTGAAGCGTGATTTTCAAATAAACTTTATTATTATTATATGTACTTTGACCATTGGGGAATGAAGCGGATTTATAGGGGCTATGAGTCCTCGAAGTCATATTTATGAATGTGAAAATGTCTTCATTAGTATTCTTCAGCAATATCGAACGTTCAATATACGATATATCCATGACTTAATCAAAAGGGGGAAAATGTATTGGCAGTGGTGTCCGGTCATTTCCAATGGGCTGTGACGCTGGGCGCTCCCAAAAGGTTGGCCTATATTAGGATCAGGGCCAAATGGCCAGAGAACTTAAGGTCAGCGTATTGGGCAAATCATAAATCGTGAGATTAATTTCTGGGGTGAAAAAGTCATGTTCAACTTCCTGCAATATTACTGAGTACTGACTTAGCTTTCCGGTACAAAACCTCTCTCAGATGCCACCCTTTGATGACTACCACCTTTGTTAAAAGTGATGGCTTATTTTGTACCCCTTCAAGTAATATTTTCTCAACATAGTTCGATTAAGCTTGGTCTGAATAACAAGAGTTATGTAGAATTTTACCAATTTTTTTAGAGTTCCAGTGTCTGATTTCACGTCTTTTAATTCATAAATTCCTATTTTTTTCCGTTGCATTTGGCGGAAAATGTTGTCCCTAAATCCCGGGAACTCGCACCATTTTTAGCAAATAATAGATCAGGGCCGGCATGGAGCGCCAAATTCTAGGGGTGTCATTTTACAGCACCCCACCCCCCACACACAATAAAAAATACTATTCAGTGAAAATAAGTTTTACACAATTGGAGAATATTATGCTTTTGATCGACTCTTCGGGATAGGCATAGTCTTTAAAAAACTTACGTGAAATAAGTGTAAAACTGCCATACCACACTAAAAAAAAAAAGAAAGAAAAAGAAACAAAACAACAAAATGTAACAGCTTGAAAAGTTTAAGGCATTTATTGATAAAACATTTCGCGGAATGCATAATGTTTTGAATGGCAACTATGCTTTGACCAATGATAATTATTTTGTTTTAAAAAGGTACTTAATAAGTAGGACACTTTACATAACACTGTACAGACATATCTGCGTTTTCCATGAGCTTTTTCTTGTTACAAATAGCTTGCCGATTGAATTTTAAAAACACACTTTTTCTGCGGGTCAAATTTTGCATCTCAATTTCGACCCACTTCATACTCTCCTAATGCCTAATTGATTTGAACTGAAGCTCGCAAATCAAAGAGACATGCACAGTATGCACACAGCGGTTTGGCTAATTTCATTCCACTTTTTAAGATCAAGATCGATTGGAGCATGCACCATTAATGCAAGGCAGTTGTGTGAACTTATATTTTCACGATTAAAGAATCTGTATAATAAAAAATGAGTCTCGTGACACTTACTTGCAGCAATGCAAACGTATATTCATCCAAAATTACATTATATTTATATTGACGTATTTGTCAAGTCATACGACAATATTGTTTTTCCATGGGAGCCCCTCGCTTTTTTTAGTCATATGATTGTAACAACTTAAAAATTTTTTGGCACATTTATTTTATTTTTTAGAATATTTTTGGAAAAACGTGTACTTTAAAAGTATTTTTTAACAAACAAAAAAACTGTGTGTTGAAATGAAAGTTATCTAATAAATTACAAAGATAAAAACCTGGCTACTGCAGAAAAACAACAAGGGGAGTTCCTGTCTGCTGAGGATTGTTGTTTTGAGTAATATTATTTACAAGCGTAATAAATAGTGAAAGTGCATGGACATGTAAATAGCACCGTTAAAAATTACTTTGATTTGCTGAAATCGTTCTTCGTCTCATGAGTTTAGAAATTTGTTCTACTCTATTATGGAAGATCCTGTTCTCCATGTATTAGTGATTGGCTTTCATCACAAGAAAGGATGCCAGGTTTGGTTTTAATTAATATTATATTAATTTATTTAATAAATAATCATATTATTCATATCCTAAAAATCTTAAACAAATAATTTAAAAATAGTTTAAGTCTACTCTTAAAACTCCAGACTTAAGACTGAGTTAAGAATATTTTTATATGGTCATGAAACATTCCTAAACTATACTCAAGAAGTTATGTATAGTATAGCATTGTAAGGTGTTATTTGTAAATTAAACTTAAAGTTAAATATAGGCAATCATGTATTTTTGTATAAATATAATGTATTGTAATTAATTTTATCAAAATCAAAACCTTGTGTCTGCATATTATTAATATTATAAAAGTTATAAAAGTATTTATAAATTTAAATTTATAAGTGGTTGAAATCCAAATGAATGTCTGAATTGTCTGAATGAATGGCTCCTTTATCGTTGAGGACCAAGCATATTAAATAAATTATTTCCATTCAAGGTGGTTAAATAAAAGTTTCACGAGTAAAATATTTTTTTACTGGCAATTGGCAATTAATTTTGTAACATAACTAAAACTAATTTACAAACTTGTGACTTGTGTGTGTGTATGACAGATAATATGTAATAATAATATTTTTCTGTCAACCAACTGCCTAGGCTTAAGATTTAAAAAGACAATTGTCTGTCCGAATAATTTGTTATACCTCATTAATGGGGAAAATGATTTAATTGCTTAATTTACAAGTGCACAGTTGCAGCTTTTATATATAATATAGAACTGTGGAACTGCAAGACCCCCTATTTTCATTGTCCCTTTTTTTAAAGACCTTCTCTCTACTCGCATTCTCATTTTGTATACTGTATATGGAGCGTTCTTTTTTTTTTTTTTACACTTGATATTTTAAGATTGAGTCTTTGTCGTGCAGTTTTCACCCGTTGAATAAATAGAAAAAAAAAGACTGTTTTTTATTTTTTTTTTTTTTTAAATTTTTTTTTTTTTTTTTTTTTTTTTTTTTTTTTTTTTATATGGTGTTTTTTTTTTTTTTTTTTTTTACACTTGATATTTTAAGATTGAGTCTTTGTCGTGCAGTTTTCACCCGTTGAATAAATAGAAAAAAAAAGACTGGGTTGACGGAGGCGGGTTGACACTGTCTCTCAAATTATTGTTATTGACCATGTCTACTTTCTTGAGTGAATAGGTGGGTGGGTAAGCTCAGATCTACTTTTTAGTTTTATGCCTAGGTAGAGAATTCAGTCACTTAAACTAGGATTTTGTAAGCATTCAATGTTTTAAAAAGTAAATAATTTTGTAATTTAAATATTACAATTTTATTACTAAAAAGTAGAAATTACAAAATATATTTAAAAAAAAATACTTTCTATCAAAGAATAATTAAAACTCACTAAAAAGACGAAAATAATTAACATTTCTTAAAATGGATTACACAAAGAATGTCCAAAGCATTCATATATAAAAGCAGATTTCTACAGAAAAATATTGGAATCAAAGACGATTCATTCCACAACCCAAATATTTTAAAATAAAAATGATTAATACTAAATACATTTTTATACTTTTATTATTAAATTTTATTAGTAAAATAATCATTACTATTTTGTTTAAGAGAGAGCAGATTAGGGGAGTTATTGTTGTCTTTTTCTTTTTGTTTGACTTCAAGGAACATATCCAATGCACTTGGTTTTGTCTTCCTTTTCAACCATTCTTTTTATGTGGGCCATTGTTGCTGTGAATAGTTCAAGAATAGTCACTCCATTTGAACAAACCACACGCACATAGTCACAGTGCATAAGGAAACACTAGTTAACAGTACACGCTTGCCTGGATTTTTACAGTATGAGTGAGGCACAGGAGACAGAGCATGGGAGATGATTACCCATTGACTCAGTTGTGATCATTTGACGTTAGGCACACACTGTGCTCGCACTGCTAGACATCACTCATACAAATTGAGTGAAAAATTATTAAAAGATTTTGCTTGTTATAATTGTAAAATGTTGTCTTGGTTAAAAATATGTGCTGAAAATGAATGTGTACAAGGTAATAAAAACACTTCCATTTATTTGGATCAATAAAGAATCTTTCTTATTTTGTGAAATACTCACTTGCGAAGTCACTTGCAATTCAAAGTTTTACTTTATAAGATTTTAAATTGCAGGTTGAGTTTTCTTACCCACCCCTTATAGAAGGGAATTCAGTTGAGAGTCATGAGATTCCTGAAGAATGGAAACACATTCCATCGTTGGCCCTTCCAGATGGGGCCCATAACTTTGTCAAAGGTAATTAAATTCATGTTTTGTTTTATTTGTATCTCTGTGATGTCTGCTTATAGCAAATTGTGTTGCAAATTACAGACTCACATTTTTTATAGATTTAAATATATATCTATGTAATTTGTTTGATCACTAGAGTGAGAATAGTGTCTATTTCATGGCAATGTCTCAGTTTACTAACTTCATACACCACCATTTTTTTCTGCTTTTATCAATGCATCTAATGTATAAGCACAGAAGCTTTTTGTGTGTGCTGATAATGATGGATGTTTTTTATAGCGCTGCATCAGATATACGCCAAGTGTGTGGAACTTTGCATCACATAGAATGGAAATCACATTGAAAATTTATGAATTTAAAGATAAAACATGTTTTTTGAAAAATGTATTTGCAATTATGTCTATATACAGTGATACCCTGGAAGGCGAACTTAATCCGTTCTAGAACCATTTTTGAGGGCCAAGAAAATATTTTCGGTTTAAAATAATAGAACCTGGATTGATCCATTTAATCCCAGGAGTGCATCAATCCATTTGTATACATCTCTTCCATACATTTTGATAATCTAAAAGTTAGTGTCATAACCCACTTTGCCAAATCAGTTGCTTTGATAGCTTCTTTATTTTTCAAAATTGTACACAAAAGTTGATTTAGGCATCCCTAAATTTCATGCTCAACGATAAGATAAGACCTTTTTTAACTTCAGTTGTAGCTTACCTCTACTTTCATTTTCCTCACTACAGGTTTTAAGACCCATAGTGTATACACTTAGTTGCTTTTATCTAAAGAAAATAACACAAAACAAGCATAAAATTAGCAGTAAAATCACACAAGATACTTTCACTACAGCTTCCGAAAATGAACTTGGTTGGCATATGGTTGGCCTGAGCGCTGGGGAAACAGAAAAACTCATAAACAATGTGCTGGGCATTCTGACCTTATAGCAGCATATAGAATTTTGGCAAAAATTTGCTCTAGTTTGTGACTTTCGGATTCCAAGTTGTTCGTGTTCTGGACTGTTCGAATTCCAAGATATCACTGTATTAAATGTGTATATATATCATGTACATACCATGGAACACATTGCCGGGCTTACTGCTAATCCAAAATCATATATATATATATATATATATATATATATATATATATATATGTATATATGTATGTTTATGTATGTATGTATATTTACTGCATTGTAATGAAAAATAAATATATATATGTATGTATGTATGTATGTATATTTACTGCATTGTAATGAAAAATAAATATATATATGTATGTATGTATGTATGTATATTTACTGCATTGTAATGAAAAATAAATATATATATGTATGTATGTATGTATGTATATTTACTGCATTGTAATGAAAAATAAATATATATATGTATGTATGTATGTATGTATGTATGTATATTTACTGCATTGTAATGAAAAATAAACGTGATGTTCTTAGATTGGTTTAGAAAATAGATGTAAATAATCCATTACATAAAATATTTACAGGAAATAAGGGTTTTACAATTATTTTTTGTTATTTTATGCGTTGTATACATTAATTTCAAATGCTTTAATTGTATATGTTGAATATCAAACTATGACCAAAAAAAATGGGGCAACACATGAAACCAAACATGCACATTTTATAATTTTTTCAACAGACACTGTGTATTTTGTTCTGCCTGGGAGAAACGATAATCCGCACACAGTTTATGGTGTCTCATGTTACAGACAGATGGATGCAAGCGTAAGTTAAAAAAGCGACATTTCATATCTAATTATTGCATTAGCCTACGCTATAATTCATATCTCAAGGTATTTGAAAAGCAATATTTGGCAACTGTAGTATCTAATGTTCCAATACACTGTATGTATATAAATTATGTAAAAAAACAAATTTTAAACAAATTAAATAACCGAAAACAATAACATTGCAGCAGATTTTGAATGAACACTTTTCTTTATGAGCTCTTTAACACTCATTCACTTGGCAATCTGTATTGTTACGCACTGGCTTCTCTTGTGAGAAATTAATCTCTTGTTTTATGTTATGGCTCGTTCAAACAGTGCCTAACAAAGGACGATACCATAGCTAAATACAATAACAAATTAGGACACCCAAAACAGTTGCCAATTACAATTAATAAGATTTAATTTAGTAATAAAACAATTACAAAACAAAAGAAATATAATTACAAATCATCAACTTACAGAGTATTGGAAAATCTTGTACCGGTACACAATTAGAAGGGGTACAATGTGCCAATTAATAATGATGAATGCGAATAAACACATGAGCACACAAAGAATAATATAATTGTCTTGTAAAGTTAATAATAGCTATCTTTCTATCTGAATCTCCGTCTGAATCTCTTTCCCTCTCTCCGAAACCCTTTACTTATATTGTGGGTCTACCAATACATCCAGAAACGCCTTTACTTTTCTAATACAATTGCGAACATTCGACAAAACACCACTGAGAACAAATTAATTATTTTTAGTTGCTGTCAGCAATAAACACGATAGATCAAAGGACTAAGCCACGCCCATCTATGAACGTAGTGTCTCATGTGGGGTCAACCAGAGTGCATGGACAAGGAAAGTGTTTTAAACAAGCTCTACATAACAGTATACATACTAATCCTTTTCATAAGGTTTCAATCAAGGATAACTCTGTTTGATAGAAATGGTTTGTTAACAGACAAATGTCAGAATAGTATGATAGAAATGTTATAATATATATATATTTCGTCAGTCAAAATCGACCATGACTACCGTAATCATTGTATATGCTAAATGAGTGAAAAATGATTAATGTCACACATGTTGTGACTTGGATTTAAGTGAGGAAGAGTTGCATGAGTTATCTGCCTCACTCTCTCACCCAATACCATTCAAGCAGCAAGACCATGGATGGATGGGAATGGGATAGAGTGCCGTGAATGACCATGGCATTATGTATGTCGTGTTATCCTCAGAGTGATTCACATTGCATTACTGTCACTGCTTTTTTGCCTGTTGACCAAATAGTGGTTCCTCCACACAATTCACCGGATCCAGGCTTTACATTGCTGTCAGAGACTAGCCCTTTTTAACAAATATTTGATGTCCCTCAGCTACCCCAACCTGGTTTTGCCTCCTAGTGGAAGCCATAATAATCACTCTTAAAATATTTAATCACTTTAATATAGAATGTTGAAAAGCCAAAAGTCACAATGACTTAGAAATTTTCAGCAGAATGTTATATAAAAGTTTCATATCACTAGAGATTTTTAATTAATGGAGAAATTGAGAATCTGAGGACAAATGTATACTTTAATAGTATAGATAATTATTTCTCAAATATTAAAAATGTTTGAGACTTCAATATCTTTCTCTGTATTGTAACTTTTTGATTCTCACTATTTTTTCTGTTGCTATTTTGAATCAGATTAATACAACTGTTTTGTTTATATTATTTAAATGTAAAAAAATTAATTGACAGAATCTGATTAACAAAACAGCTGATGTGACTAGAAGCACAGTGCAAAAAAGTGTTTGTGTATTAAGCAGACTGGTAAGTGTTTTAAAAAACTACATTAATTTATGATTTGTTAATAAAGTAACACAGCTATGATAGTGTATTAAAAAATTTAGTGTATTTTTATATAAAAAATTATATTATTTTATACTAGCCCTGTGGTTTTCAGCCTCTCTCCACTTGTTGCCCCAAGTAGATAAAATAATTTATTCTTGCGGCATCCCATATCAGGGTCAGACTCTCTAGCCGGTCATGGAGGTGCAGACAGAAAGCTGTGACATGGTATCACAGAGCCGAAATTACTTTGTTTCTGATAAAAATATCTTTGTAACTTTCTCTGTACCACCCTAAATCAACAAATAACACATTTAAAAATAGGATAATATTTATCTCCACCCCAGGTACTAATGTTTAAGCTCAGTTTATGTGGAAGCAATTTAATAGAGAGATAAGAGAATTAGCAAGCGATAAATTCAAGGAATAAAGCTTGTTCTTTTGGAGGCAGAGCTCAAAGATAAGAAAGATTTTGCAGCAACCCTAGGGGATTATTTGTATTAGCAGATAGGCCTTTAAGTAATTCTTGTTTATTAACAAATAATTTATTAATGTAAACAGCACTTCCTTTTTCAGTTAAATTAAATGTTATCCATACCGTTATTTTCCTTAAATGACAGTATGAGTTCTTTCAACTAATTTATAACCTTTCTATTTTTCTCATCTTTAGCCTCTGTTTGGTCTGATCAAAGCAAAGCTGGAGTTGATAACTCATGCATATTTTGATGAACGAGACTTTAGTCAAGTGTCTTTATTGGAAGAGACATATAAAAATTTGAACTCATCATTGACACAGAGTCTGTTGGAAGGAACTCAAGTTTTTCTAGGTTAGTTTTATGCATGTTAGTTTTATACATACAAGATATTGATATTATACTCTGCTACATTTTGTATTAGAAATGTCATTCAAGCAGTATTTATAGTATGAACATTGATGTTTAATAATATTAGGTACAGTTACATAGCTACTATAAAAAGGTGTTACACTTATACCTGTGTCATTACTTAAAACTGCAATTTATTTTTGACTTTCTAGGTCTTTCTGCTCGTGATCTGGTGATATTTTACAAGCACAAAGTTATTGTTCTCTTTAAGTTACTTATGCTTGAAAGAAGGGTAAGACCAATTTTTACTTTTTTTTTTATTTGATACTTAATCCAAAAGTAAAGTTTAAAAATATGCAGTTATAAGTACTTCATGTACAGCTAGTAATTTGATAAAATGTGCTATCAGGTATGATGTTACTATAACATTCTGGTGTACAAAAATGACCCTGAGAGAATTTTTTTTTTTTTAAATGCGGTGTCCCAGCAAAAGGGGATCTTAGTGTGATTGAGATACCAGCATTAGAGTATTTTGACCCCAGAAAAACTCCAGTCTTAAAAACTTCACTTTCGTACAGAGTGCAAAGTTGGGTCATTTAAAAGATATACAAATGGTAGTTAGAGGCTGCCAACCTCATCATAACCAGTAACTGTCACCACTCGGAATCTTAAAAAAACAGCAATAGCCCGTCCACCCCAACGGGGTGAAAAACAGACATCCATGATTTATTTCAAGGATTCTTAACCTTTTTACAGCACCCCCTCTTGATTTCAATACATATTTTTCAGGGGGGGGGTTGTTGTAAAGCCCTCAAGCCCAACAGATGTAACTAATGATGTTCTTTTGATGCATGTGTGTAATGCATTTGAATCAGACTAAGCAGATTAGGATAGCAATTTAGTCTTTCTACTGTTGCATGTTGCAAATTTAATTGTTGCATGATCAAATTGTTTTTGCAGGTCTTGTTTTTTGGTTCGCCAGTAGAGTCATTATGTCAAACTTTGTTAGGCTTCTTGTCATTATTTCCAGGTAAGTATATGATTTAAAAAAAAAAAAATCTGTTTTTATGTATGATAATTTTAATTTATAGACATGTAATTTAGAATATTGACTTAAAGTGATTAAATTCTCAAATCATTTTATTAACTGTGAATATCCTGCAGGTATGTTAGAAAGTGGCCTGAGTCAGTCCTGCAATCAGTGGGGTGTAAAGAAGTTGTCTCCTAATTTAGCTGTAGCAGACTTCAATTCAGATTTGGATGAGAATGAACAATTTTTAGAAGTTTGTTATCATACTTCTACTCCTGAAACCCCTCTCAATGAGCTCCTTGGACACATGCACAATTCTGGTATGAATCTTGTGTCTAGTGGAGATGTAGAAGTTGCTTCTTTAAACACCAGTCATGAAACTGAATCAGCAATGGTGAACAGTGAAGCACCTGAGTCTCCATCTATACCCCGGGATCCCTTAAATTCTGTAGATAACGGTAGCAACAAGGTTCAATTTCCCAACGGAGGTCATGTAACAAGAAAAGAACCTCAATTATCACAAGGCTCAAGGTCCAGAAGTGCCAGCTCAACTGATTCTGAAAAACTCACTGTTCATGCCTTTAGTAAGGCTAAAAGACAATTTTCTGTAGATGATTCAAAAATGTATTCATCGGGAGACATTGGTAAGAATCATTTAACTGATAGTCCATTGACCAATTTAGATACAATTACACATATTGAAAGTGTCCAAAGTGTTGTAACATCAGATGCTTTCATGGAGCTCAGTAAAAAGTTAACAGAATACGACAACAACAGCAATGCTGTTGATAAATTGACAAAGTCCAGAAACAATAGTTTGACACTCAGCAGCACAACATCTAGACAGGAAACTGATGATTTGATAGAGGACCTAGATTCCCCTGAGAGTATCAGCAAAATAGACAAGGAGGATTGTTTTTCCTGGGAGCAAGACAGGCTACAGTTAACAATTGACCATGAACAGACCTCTAACAACAAGGCTGGATCTTCAACCCCTTCCTCATCAATTAGTGAAAGTAGGGAGTCCATTGTAGCCAGTGAAAGCGGGAAAGAGTCTATATCAGATGACACTGCCAGTGCATCTTCTCTCAATAAAGTAAAAAAATCAAAGTTGGGGTTTGGTAGGAAAGAAATTAACCCAGAGTCACCAGTCTCCAAACATAAGAAGCCCATTGCTATTAAAAGTAAATTATCAGCTGCTTTTGTTAAAAGAGGGAAGAAAAAGGAGACATCTAACAAAAGTGACAATTCCTTGACAAATCATGGGGGTGATGTTGTGCTTCAGCAAGATCAGTTTGGTTACCCTTTAGCTATCTTTACCAAGGTAGGACTATTTTATATATATTTTTACAAATGTTTTAGTATTAATATTTTATGTTGATTAATTGTTTTGTTATAAAGATATCCAATTGATGACATGATTATAGATTATGGTAGATTTGCCAAATCATTGTTGATTTACACAAAAAAATAACATGGATCATATTACTTTTTTTGTTAACGGGATACATTCTTTTTAACAGCCATAAAATTCTCTTTCAGGGCGCTGTATGCTATCCATATTTAAGTCTACAGTACCATGACATTCTGACTGACGTCAACTACCGCAGCTTTGTTCTAGGTGCCACCAATGTTTTATTTAAACAAAGAAGGCAGCTCATTGATGTATTTATAGAGGTAAGTACTAGGAAATATAAACAAATAAGATAACAAGACAAAATTCATTTCTACATGGTAGAGGAAGGTCAATTTGTCCCTGAAAATAATTTATATAAGTGGGGGATATTCAGGCCATTTTTTTCATACAAGTATCATGTTCCCATAATTTTTAACCAATTCAGTGCCTTGTGTTATTTCTGCATATTTCTCACAAATTTCATAACTTAAATCAGATCCAAGATGGAAAGTTGGATATAAGAGATAAAGAACTCCAAAAGCAGCTGAATCTCACTACTGCTGATCTCAGGTTTGCTGACTACCTGGTCAAGACAGTCACAGATGATAGGCCAGGTCTGTTTTTAGATGGCACAGGTGAGAGGGAAATAGGCTGTTATTTGGAACCTCAGTTGATGCATGTTAAAAATATTATTCCCTGTGCATTAAATGTACACACCACCTGTGATTTCATCAATGTTGTAATATGCTCCCTCATTTATTTGCTCTTATCTGTGTAAGATTTATTGTCTGATTCAATGTCCATCAAATTGTGCAAGGCTATCTTGCTTATGAATGCAGCAAATCTCTCTAGTATTTAAAGGTAGAATAGTAAAATTAAACTGAATAGGAGAACAAGGTATGTGGAAGCTAGAAGTAGAAACACAGGGCAATAAAGAAGAATGTTTTGGCTAAGAGCCTTCCTCAGCAGACTGGACAAATGAAGAAATAAAAAGAAATAGAAAGTTTCTTATTTCTTCATTTGTCCTCTTTGCTGAAAAAGGCTCTTAGCCAAAACATTCTTCTTTTATTTTCCTGTATTTGCATTTTTTCATTTATCCTTAGTAAAATTAAAGCATGATATGCAATAAGATCACAATTTTTGTTTAGTTTATAGTCCTTGTCTTTCTTAAGAATTACTTGTGTTGTGACATCAGTCTGCGCTATGCAGCATCACTAGTTAATGAACAGTACCATGTCATCTGTTTATCAACACAGTTCTTTGATTTATAATGTTATGATTTTATTTGAAATTTAACTATTAGCAGTGATCTTCATGTTGAGTTTTTTTAACTTTAGCCACATACAATTAAACATTAGTCATTGTATTCTAACAGTTTCTGTGCTGATATATTAATATTGTTCTCCAAGCTGAAAATGGCTATTGTGGTGTAAAATGTGTTAATAAATGATCTATCTCTAGGACATGTGATAAATATTGTATAGTATGTCAATTATACTGCCCCTTATGTCAGTAAGTTATCTTTTGAAATTATGTTCTAATAATTTTATTATGAAATTGTTTGTTAGAAGTATAAATCTCTGATGGACTATTCTATATAACTGACATATTTCAGAATGGGAAGGCAGTGATGAGTGGGTTAGGGCACAGTTCAAGCATTATCTCAATTCTTTGCTCTCTACAGTAGTAGCAGATGGTGAGTACCAATAGTTTTATTGTTCATCAACTTTTACAGCCTTTTAAGGGCTTCCACACACCCTTTCTCAAAAATGTATACAGTGGAACCTCTCATAACGAGTTTAGCGAAACACTCGTTAAACGAAACAATTTTTCTCATACAAATCAAGGTAAAATACGATAATGCCTTCGTTCCATGCTGAAAAAAATACTTATTTTTCCAAAAAATTTTATTAACATTTATTCAAATAAAATTACTTATGAATTGATAAGGAGTGTAACAACTTGGAATACAATTTAGATTTGAAACAAAAAACGTAAATAAAAATATGAATTTTATGACAAATAATTAATCCTTTTTAACTAGAAAACTGTCTAAAGACATTTGTTTTTGCTGACGCTTCAAAATTTGACGAAAATGTGTCACAGCATTATCATTGAATAAGTTTGTAGCACAAATAGCCACCTCCTTATTAGGGTGATTCTTCTCAATGTACGATGCAACCGTTTCCCATGCTTTCAGCATTTCTCATATTGCGCCAGAAGATTGTTACTCTGCTACTTCCTCCTCCATTAATGAGCTCTTCTCCATAATTTCTTGCTGTGAAACACAATGCAACTCCATAAGCTCTTTGGTGGTTAACTCTTGAAATGTCGCTCGTTAAGGGAGCAACTTCTTCACATTTTTTTTTTGCTCGTTATGCGAATTACTCGTCATGAGAGGTGCTCGTTATGAGAGGTTCCACTATATATGTATTCGTTGCATTTAACTATTTGTTATTTAAAACTATGTAATTTCAGATCCCAAGTTAGTGGAAGACTTTGGAACTTCATTCCTAACAGCATGGAAAACAACGCACAACTTTAGATTTTGGGTTGATACAGATCACATAGCTATAAAGGAATTCCCCCCAGGGTAATTTATTCAGTCTATTTTTTAAAAACAGATTAAAAAACATACTGCTATTTCAAATATATCTTACACATCTGCTTACAATATTCAATGCTGCATTCATTTTTTATTTGTAAATATTTTTTTAAAGTGATATAGTTTCTTCATTATCATTAATAAGTTTTGTAATTTATGTTGCCTAGTCCCTTTTTTTTCAATCTCTATTACAGACATCCATTCCAGGGTAACCTCAGTATGGCTGATGTGAGAGTCAGATTTAATCAGTAAGTCATGTTGGAAAATGACAAAATACTAAATATAAATTACACATTGTTTTGCACGCCACATTTTTTTGTTGTGAAGTGACATCAGGTTTTTATGCTGTCTAGTCGTGCTTCATGTTGTTTTCAGACAAATAAAACGTTGAACTAACTTTGATGGCTGCCTCTGCTTATTTTATTATCTTCCTTGTGAATTTTTAAGTCATTCATAGACTTTCATTATGTAATCAGAGGATCGTTCATAGAATTTCAAGTGTAATCAATACATCATTTATTTCATAATACAAAAATTTACTTTTTCCAAGAAATCCAAGAAATTAATAAAATTATTTTTTTATTTAAAACATTTAAATATTAAGAATATATTCACGAATTAAGTATCTAACTTTTGTGGTTCACATTAGGCATTTCTATTTTTTTTTTTTTACAGTTTTGATTTTATATCAAATGGTCAAAATGTATATATTTTCTTTAACCACTTGAACTTCCTATGCCTACCCTGTGTTTGTGGAATGCTACAGAGCTGAAATTCGGTACATAGCTTAGTTTCAAGGTATCCGCTAATCTCTAAAAACATTTGGTGGATCCTTGATTTACATATTTGGGAATCTGTATAATAATATTTTTGAACAGATTAAGAAAAACTTTAATATACAGAAAAAAAGCAATGATTTAAGGATGCAGGTCAAGCCATTAGATAATTCTGTCATAATCAACATTCCTCCAAATTCAATATTTGCACTCCTAAATGCGATATCGAGAATTAAAGCTTTGCCAGCTGAAGGTTAAAAATACACAAAAAAAAGGTTTTTTTGTTGTTGTTTTATAATTTCCTTTTTTTTTTTCATATTAATTATACAGTACATTACAAAGTACAGAGCGTGGGAGAAAAATTAACGCGGCAGTTGTTTCAACTGGAAAGTATGTGGTACAGACCGGGAAAGCTGTCGGTGAGTGATCATTTTATTCATCCTGTAGCTTAAAAACAAAAAGGGAAATACCAATACCATTATCAAGTTATTTATTTTCAAGATGTACTCATATTATAATTAAGGTTATTCCCTTTTGTCCAGTTATCTTAAGAATTTGAGCCAGATGAGTTTTTACATTTATACAAATAAAACATATATATGTACATATGAATTGGTTTGTTCTTCTAGGTGGAGCATTTACATCAGCAAAATCAGCTGTGTCTGGTTGGTTCAGCAGCTGGAGAAACAATGACAAAGTAATTGAAGGACAAGAAAAGCAGGCCTCTTCAGAAGACTTTAAGAAACTGGAAAGTCATGGGGACAATATTTCCAAAATCTCCGGTGAGATTGACGAGGTTCATGATTTAGTGAAAACACAATAGATGCTCTCTTTTGCTGCACTTCATTCATACATGTTTGAAAATAATTTCAATTACTTAATGCTGATAAGTATTATACAATAGATGGTTACTTGATAAGAGATTGTCGGTTGATGGCATTATAACTAGTCACGCAAAATTCATATCAGTGAGTTACAACTAAGTTAAGGTGTTAGAACACTGAATGGTTTATTTTGTACTTTTTATATACAAATCCTGTTTCGTTTTTTAAAGAATTTTTGCTTTGTATTGGGGGATTAAAAGAAACAATTTTTTGGTCTGTTTAAAAAATTATTGTAAATAGAAGTCTTTATTTTTTAGCTGATTCTAGGATAAACAGACCAATTTATGGTGCCTTGATCAATTTTCAATGAGTTGTAAGATAAAACTTGTTGGTATAAAAAAGATGTTTATTTATTTACTTGAAAGAGGTATCTAGGTCTTTTCAAAGGACATCAATAGTGCATATATTCTACCCATCATCACTTCTCTTAATGTACATAAATGGAAATGCTTATTATTTAAGCTTTTTTTTTTTTTTTTTTTTTTTTTTTTTTTTTTTTTAAAAAGGTTTTTTTTTTTTTTTTTAAATGATTAAAAATTTTTTTTTTTTTCACCTTCTCTTTTTTTTTTTTTTTTTTTTCTTTTTTTTTTTTTTTTTTTTTATTTTTTTTTTTTTTTTTTTTTTTTTTTTTTTTTCAAAGGACATCAATAGTGCATATATTCTACCCATCATCACTTCTCTTAATGTACATAAATGGAAATGCTTATTATTTAAGCTTTTTTTTTTTTTTTTTTTTTTTTTTTTTTTTTTTGTTTGTTTTTTTTAAAAAGGGGGTAAAAAAAATTTTTTTTTTTTTTTTTTTTTTTTTTTTTTTTTTTTTTTTTTTTTTTTTGCAGATGAGATTAATGACAAGAGGGGATAACAAAATTATTTTTTTTTTAGGTAATATAGGATGGCTCCTTATCACCTGTCAATACCTAAATTATTATTTGAGGTTAATTTAAATTTCAAATATCAACTTGCCTTTTCAGAAAAAAGGTATAGGTTGTGCAGTTATCTGTTATCTTTTTCAAAACTTGGATATGAGCTGGGTATAAATTGAATCTCTGGCTTTAATTTAACCAAACATATATTTATGATATATATAATATATAATTGAATTTAAAATTCAATCACTTAAACAAACCGTAAAAATGTCAAGTGTCTTTTTTTTTAAAAATCATCTATTTTTCACTTCTTATGCCTTTGATTAAATAAAATATATTGTTTTCTGTTTTAAAAAATTCAAAGCACACAAAGTAAAAAATTGATTTGAGTGTTGTTTAGAAGCTGATTTGTGAACTGTGGCAAACATTTTATTATTTTCCCTTAAAAAATAAGGGGAGAATTTATTATTATAACTTATAAACCCTTTCCATGCATTTCAAGGACTTATATAAAGAGGATATGAATTAAAAGGTTGTTTTTTTCCTCATAACTGTCTAGACTGAGACATATTCATAAGGATAAGTAAGCAGATTGCTAAAAAGGAAATGTGATAATTGTAAACTTAGCAAAACATTATGTTTTAAATGTATCAACTATTTCATCAACTTTTAATTAATACACAGACTGACTTGTGTGCAGCTTAATCCAATGCCAAATACTTTTTGAATGTTAGAAGTCACTGGAAGTTAAGGCAACATCATATTTTCTTATCAAGTAAATCTAGATTAAGATAAATGCATCTTTGACCATTTGCAGTAAGAAATATCTAGCTACACACACTTGATATAGTTAGCTTTAAGTAAAACAATTAATTTATGGTTTATGTTCCCAAATTTTAAAATTCCCAATATTTGATGATAATCATGTTTTCATTCCCCGCCCCCCCCCCGCCTCTGTTTTCTTTCCCCATAAGAATTAAACTGTTTCACATGTGATTAACAACCAACATTAGTATTTAATACATGTTGCGATATGGGGTTTAACTTTATGCCATGCCAACAGTTATTTTTTATCAATCAAGATTCTAAACTATTTTTAAAGACTTTAATAATTTTATTTTTCTTAACTTACTTTTTGAGGCTTGTGTTTATTGATGTAATGAAATTTCTGTGTATGTCATTAAATTTTTTGTTTTCTTTCTAGTTTTAAATCCCTTTTCCACTATAATTTTTAAAATAATCTTTGCATTGTTGAATGTAACAATTCCCGAACTTTGTTTTGATGACTGAGAGGAACTTACATTGTATAGGCCGTTATTGAAAGACAAAGATGATATGTCATCTTTAGGTGTTTGTTTTTTTTCTTAAATTTCTTGTATCTCACTTTTTTTATTAACAGCATTGGTGATTTTCATCTTAAACTGTGATATCTTTGACATTCTGCAAACTTGATTACTACTATTGACATGAACAAGGTCTACAGTCTACTATCAGGGTTTTTTTCCTCTGTCATTAATCAATTCTTATTATATATATATATATATATTTTTTTTTTTTACCATAGAAAATATCAAAGTATAAATGAACTGAAAATGCAATAAAACCGAAATTTATTTATTTTAAGTTTCAAATTCAAAATAACTGTAAATAGACTGCTTTTTAAAGATACAAAAATTATATTTATAATATTGAGGAAGATACCATATTTTGCAATATGTTGAAAGAAGAAATCATAAATTTGTTTTTATTCGCCTTTACTTCATAGCTGGCCCTAACCACTATCCCGAATTAAAGTCACCAGCATATTGAATCATGACAACCTGACTAATCATGGTGAATTGGATCCAATAATAAGATTTAAGTTTGATTTACTGGTTTGTTTAGGTTAAAACATGATAGTGCTTACCATACCTCCGAAACCAGTAGTGTTACATAGCTTGAAACCCTCTTTACCTGTAAACCTAAAATTATTACGTCACTTACCTTTGGTTTATAGGATGCAGGATGGTTTTTGGGTATATTTCACAGGGGAAAATGTGTCTTTTAAGCAACAAAATATGATGACTTGTCACTGCACAAGAATGAATACATAGTTGATTTATCTACACATTTAGCGATTGCATTGTATTGCTATCATCTTATTATTTTATGTCTATAAAACTGTGCCAGGTGCAAAGCAACCTAAATCAGAAAACTGTCTATGTGTTTAGATTTCAAATTAATTAACTTCTTGTGATTTTATTGTTCAAGGCAACAAGACTAAATAAGATGTTCAAATCATTTGTCCTTAGAGATATGACTTGGTCTTTATCCAAAATTTGAATCTTTTTAAACAATGTAATAAATCATGTGATGTCTTTTTTGCCAATTATATTTTGATCTATTTGTGTCAAACTTCCTTTACCCTCTCATTGTGTAGCATATCACTGCTTGTTTTGGTTTCAATTTAATAATCTGGTATGTGCAAAACAATTGTTCCCTATTTAAAGGTAGTCTTTTGAATATGTTGATAATTAAAAAAAAAAATAAAACTCATTTTTCTTATTTTAATATTTGGTCACTAGCTCTATTTAAGAATTAATTAAAGTATGCCATAAGTGAAAAGCTCATTTATGTAAGACATGGAGAAATGTTGAGTTTCACTGGAACTCTAGGATTGATACTTATGGAATGGTCACAATGGATGACACGGTAGGTGGATGATTTCCGTTATCCACCTCGTTACTGAAAGCTTCGTTTAATGGCTATACGTAACGATGGCTGCAAGCAATAGTATAATTAAAGCATTCAGGGAACTTGAAAATGCCTCGGTCAACGCTGGTCTTGGTGTAAATGAAACGAAGACAAGATATATGATGATGTCACGAAACACACACGCTGATGACATCAATATAAACAACCACACCTTCGAGGGAGTGGCTACTAACAAATATCTAAGGGCGACTATAAATGAGCCCAATGAAATAATGTTGGAGGCCAAAGAAAGGGTAACAGGCAACCGTTCCTATTGCAGCCTACAAAAGCTACTGGAAGCAAAAACCTTTCAATGGGAACAAAGAATACAATATACACCACTATCATAAGACCAGTAGTAACCTACGCCAGTCAGACTTGGTCCCTTAACAGTAAAGCAGAGAACCTGCTCAATACATGGGAGAGGAAAATATATGGTCCAGTTATAGACAATGTTTGGAGAATCCGTACAAACCAAGAGCTATGTCAATTGTACAAAGACCCAACCCTAGGAGCAACAATTAAAAAAGCCAGACAGGACAGGACATATTGAAAGGATGCCATATTGTAGAGCAGCAAAAGTGATATACAGACAGAAACCTAGGGGCAGATGGCTCACAGGTTGACCAAGACTGAGATGGATCAACGATGCAGAGGACTTACACCAATTAGAGGTTCGCGCATGAAGGTGGAAAGCCATGGATTGATCCAAATGAAGGATGCGGTGGAGCAGACCAGGGCCCTATATGGGCTGTAGTTTCACATATGATAGGTTAAAAGGTAGTCTTTATAAAATTGGGGGAAGGGGGGGGGTGAAGAGAGAAAGGGGGGATGGGAGAATGGGTGGGGAATGCAAAATGTAGTTCAGGAGATATGGTGGTTAGATTGGAGAGCAGAGGAGGAGTCAGTGGTAACAAATTATTTTAAGGAAGGTTTAGATAAAAAGCAAATGAATGAAGGAGTATCTCAATGGTTCTTCATTGTGTTGGCAAAGAGACCGGGGAGGGGGGGGGGGGGAATAATTAAAAAATGTGAAATAAATGTGTTCCACTGCTGGGTAGCCAAATGTGAGTGTAGTATAACTGAATGTTAACAGGGAAATTATTATTTTCAAATCACTGTAATTAGTATTAGTGTAAAAAAATAGAAACAAGACAGTGATAATAAATTTGACCATTTTATTTCCAGTTCTATTAAGTTCTATTATAAATAGAAGCAATATTGTCATGCGTTTGAAATACTATGAAACATTGGAATCAACATTTTCTATCATGATGTATTTTTATGGCAAAATGAGAAGATTTGTGTAATTTCAGTGCCGTGCATGTAGGGCATACTGCACAACAGTATGAAAAGGCATTCTATGTATGTTGTATGGCTAAATGCATGAGTAGTTTCAGTGCTGTTTCTTGTAGGGCATACTGCAGAACAGTATGAAAAGGCATTCTATGTATGTTGTATGGCTAAATGCATGAGTAGTTTCAGTGCTGTTTCTTGTAGGGCATACTGCAGAACAGTATGAAAAGGCATTCTATGTATGTTGTATGGCTAAATGCATGAGTAGTTTCAGTGCTGTTTCTTGTAGGGCATACTGCAGAACAGTATGAAAAGGCATTCTATGTATGTTGCATGGCTAAATGCATGAGTAGTTTCTGTGCTGTGCATGTTCTGCACAAGTTTAAGAAGGAGTTCTGGCATAAGATAAGAATGCAAGAAATAGAATGAAAAAAAAGGCACCACCAACATAAAAAAACAAAAAAAACAGCACTGATACAAACTGTCATAAATATATTTCATAGAGACAATCTTTGTGAGCTCGTATTTCTGAAGCCCATAA